TCAATCTATAAAACTTTGCAGCAACTGGACAAACTTTTGCCAAAGAAAACAAAGGAAGAACTTGAAGCAATTGCCAGAGACAACAGCTTAGCTCCGGATGTAAGTTTTTGGGTTTTACAATAGAAGAAAAAAGTGTTTTTCAGAGTGGAGGCGGTAAAATGACAGAAACGTTTTTTTATGAGTTTTCTCGCAAGCAACTTTGTGCTCCAGCTGGTACTTAGATGCCTTGTTTTTTCACTGTTTCCCACTTTTGTAGATTCGGTAGATAACGGATGCCCAGCCTGCTGATGGTCGTGATGCATGTATTTCCTCTTTCCTTGAAAAGAAGTGCTAGATATTTCACAATCTTCTCGCAGCTTGTATACTCCTGGAACAAATAGATACCAGGAGCAAGTAAAAAATAAAAACGTTTTGAGTGAGACAAAAAACCTGTTAGTGAAAAAATTCATAGAAGCAACTAAAAAACCGGAAGAACTTCCAGAACGGTTTTTGCAGAGCGAAGATTACATAAGACAATGAAATATACAGTAGAACTCACTTCCAGAAAAAAGTTCACCAAATGCACAAATAAGACAGTGGTAGCTAATTGCTGCAATTGTGCTGCAGAAAAAATACGTGAAGTTCCACGATGTTTTTAACGAACTGGACGCAGAAATCAAGGAGAAGCTTCCGTTGCCGCCGATGTATGCGGGTCTGCACGACGAAACAAAGACCAAAATAAGAGCAATTTTCCGGGAGAAGACGAGCTTCGATGAGAAACAGGAGAAGCTTGAAAACCTGTATCAGACATTAAGCGAAGAAGAGAAGAAGCTAGCACCCGAGTGGGGAGAGATAAGGCGGTAAGTTCTTCCTTGCTTACCACATTCCACTAATAATTAATATTCTGATCCAAGTAAATGTCGTGGTGCTGTGGTGCAGAAGATCGAGAGTTCGATACTCAGCGGGATGACCAATCAATCAGTCCTTCCACAATTTACTCATTCATGCTAAATTAATACTGAACACTGTCTACCTTTAAGCAATCTTAATAAAATGGAGCCGTCAACAGTCTTGCCAGCTACTGGCTGTTTTTAGCATTTGCAACCACACGGGCTAATTCCGAATGCCTCCGTCTCGTAGATTAGGGAGGGATGGGAATATTGATCTTTTTAACGGTTTTTGATGACTTTGATCACTTGCGATTCGCTTCACGATAGCCCTCAGCTGCTGCGTCACATTTCGCTATCAGACAAAAAGAAGCAAATCTGAATGAGTTAGACGATTGCTAGATATAGTACTTAGTAATTTTAAAAGTCATTATTGGATTCTTATCAAAAGCATTGTGGTCACTGCCTGGCTGGCTTTGTTTGGTACAGTAGTTTAGTTTATTTGCTGAAAAAGCCAGTTT